ACTCATGTATATAGAGTGGACTTCAGGCTCGGATCTCTGTTGCTTCGCTTTATGAAGCGCAAGTTAAACAAAAGGAACCCTACTCTTTCGGGGTCTGCAGCCTGCACACTGTGTGTGATCTGTCTTGAGTCGCTGTATAGCGACGATGTCTACTTGCTGCGTGCTAGGAATATCATTTTCTGAAGTACAACTAGTAGTTGACGGCAGTGTCAGCGAGCTACTCGTCGTAGAGGAAGGCGTTCTGTGCTTGGTCTTTGCGGGACATATCGTTGCGCTTGTGCACGGTCTTCGCCTTGCGCTCGGCTCGGCGCTTCACAGTGGGTTTCAACCCGACCTTTGTGTTGACGTTCTCGGTGACTTCGAACACTTCACGCAGCACTTCGTTCTCCACCAGATGCGTTTGAAATCCAGACTGCAGGGCACGACGGAACACGTGTGCTTGGAAGAAGCGACTCCAGGTGGACACCGTCAGCGTCTCACCTTCAGCCTGCAGCTCCTTGTGGGGTCCTTCTCCTGATTGCAGCGTCTCCAGCACTTCTTTCAACATTGAGCGCTGCACCTTTCGATTCTTCCTGCCGATACTCTTGCCTGACTCACGCATGTATGCCTCGATGCGCGAATCCAGACCACTGATGATACTTCCTGCCGACTCATGACTATAAGTCCAGCCGTTGTGAGCTGCGATGATGTACTTGAACTGCACGATAAGTGCCAGTACTTCACATGCAGACGCCCGCACGGAAGCATTTGTTCCACCTCGAACAAAACCAGCCAACGCCGCTACATGGCCATGAACAATGGACTGTGCGTTGTATACCTTACCGATCATGACCGATGGACTGAAGTAGCTCACAAGGAACGTCCAGCACTCCATCACTGCGATGGTTAACGCCTCTGGGAACTCTTTTTCATCGTGACCGTCGTCCTCCGCATCCTTCGCTGCCACCAAAAAGCTGCCCAGCACCTCCAGCAACTCCCACTTGGGCTCGTCGTCCGGACAACAAACGAAACAGGCGATGCTCAGAGCGTATACAGCCTCTACACGCAATGCACTGTCGCCTCTGTCTGTGAAGATCCGCTGCACAGACGATAATATGTCGTCGTAGAACCCCTGTTCATCTGCTCCAAGCGTGATTGCCACCATGCTAAGCACTCGAAGTGCCAGACTGTTGGACTCCTTGGCTCGTTTCTTCAGACACCCCAGTGCGTGTGAAGTTAACGTCACCTTGGACGTCTGCACGCGGTCACTCATGACCTCGGCACGTAGCATGGTCAGGATCTTCTCAAGCGCCGCGATCTTAGTGGTGTCTCTCTTCTCCGTGAGCTCCTCCATGGCTCCTTCCAGGTCGTCGTCCTCAGTCTCCAAGTCATCGTCGCCCTTCCACTTCTTACCACGTCCCTTGCGTCCACCTCCTCCTCCAGTGACAGTCTCTCGCTGCTGCATCTCCCATTGCAACGAGCTCTCCAGCTCCGACTCGGCCGACGAGTCGCCAAAGTTCGAGATGATACTGTAATCAACGGATCCGTCTTCTCCACCGTCGCTACTCGCAGCCAACGCATTACGCAGCAGACGCTTGCCTTCCTCGGATAGACGGCGACGCTGGTGCGGATGCAGGTGCTTAGAAGCTCGCGTTCCCTTCCCGGCACGCACCATGATCTTCTGTCCGTTTCTAAAACTACCAGACACGGTTGAAGCAGAACGCATACAAATTCTGAGTCAGCTCTAAAATAGCAATACTCAGCTCTAAAATTGCAAAAACTAGCCAAATTAGTGTTTGCCACATTCCTGTATGAGAACACATTCAACAAAGTCGTCCTGCGAACGAAGAAGCTCTGAAATTTCCAATTCCTGCATCTCAACATTGAAGT